ACCTTCATGTGCAGCACTGAGCAAAGTCACCTTCTAGCAAAGTTTCGGCAGCTGAGAATTGTTCAGTTTCGACGCCTCAAGCTGAAGAAACCTGAAATTCCTCGATAGCATGCGCAGCTGGCTACGGAACAAAACAGCCTACCGAAGTTGGCCGGAATGCATACCGGAATGCAAGACAAGTAGCTCGCGTCACAGCTCACTGGCGCATAAGTTCTGCCCCACTGTCAGTTCACTTGTTAAAAAAAAAACAATTCAGTTAACAAGTAGAGGCTCGACCAAACGCAATAATTTCGCAAGCTTGTTTGTGAACGTAAGAATAATAACCTACATTGCACCGATTATGACCTAAACTATAGTGTCGTGGCTTTTTAATGAATGTTTCTGGTACCAACTGCGGAAGGAAAGAATGCTGGTTAAGATATTGACATTTTCTTTAGTTTTTAATTTTTTTGTTCTCAATGTACCCCAAAGATCTTGTTAAGCTATGCACCAGTTCACCCAACATACACTCTGCCAAAAGATATTCTCATTGTCATTCACCACATTGCTCAAAGTATGAGAGGCAGTGTTGAGAAGATGTAAACCAGAAAGACGTTTCAGTGCCAGGATCGAATCCCTATGCGGGTGGGCCGACATTACTCTCCTGGTGCAAACGAAGACTGTAGCAGGTTGCGTAGTAAGTCGAAAAGCTGTAATGCCATAAAAGCCACATTGTAGTCCTAAATACGCACAATGTATACATATTGCGACAGGAAACACACGAACATGTGACAAACAGCCTTCGACATATTCAGAGAGCACAGTAAAAAATAAGAGAAACAGACTACGCTCTTTCGTAAATCGTGACTCCGACTGCACGTCCATCTTTACAATGTACCAAATGTGACCAGAGCTTGATATTGCACCGACCTACTACAACACTCATGCGATGCACAATGCCCTTCTTAAAATATATTTCGCTGTATCCCAATTTTTTGTGACACTTGGGCAGACGCACAAGCAAACGGAAGAGCGGTATTTTAGTCGAAGCTATTGATAGCTCATCAAGATGTTTCGCTTGGCATACCTGCCTTATACTTGAGAGTGGCCTGCGATATGTATTCAGCTGCAGCTCTTTTTTTTCCTCAGCAATAGAGGGGCGGGCGTGCTGTCATTCAGCGGTGCCAGAGAACTCTTTCCAGTATGTTTCCGACATGGACTGCATTGAATTGAGGATTGCCATGCGCTCTCATGTTTTTATTAGCAATGCTCACGATAGCAGCCCCATCAGTACAGAATTACAGCATACACTCTCAAGAAGGTTACCGAGCAGCCAATGAAGGCCAGATGATTTGCTTGAACAGCATACGAACTTTCTTTTTATGGCACATGAACTTCCTCGAAAGCACTTTCACGTTAGATCCGGGACTTGGTTGGGCCCACTAGAGAACAGCGTGGCAGCCACCTTGTTTTGAGCGTACCTATATAATCACCAGGAACTGAAAGGCAAAAGCAGGAAACTTGTGTTGTAAAAAAAAAAAACCCTGTTTATGCACATCATGTACGAATACATACTACAGGGCCCACAGGTGATGCATGCACAATCTCCATGGTTTTGATCATTGCAGACCACGCTTGACGGAATCTGAAGGGTAGGCAACACTGTAGAAGTGAAACATGGAATTTCAGGGACTGCAGCATAGTAAGAGGAGCTGTTAGTAATGACTGAGAGTTGTAAAATATATAAAAAAAACTCGCATGTCCTTTAATCGCGACATGGACACTAATAGCTTGGGCTTTGATAGATTGATTTGAGGGGTTTAACGTCCCCAAACCACTATAGGAATATGGGAGACACCTTAGTGGAGGGCTCCGGAAATTTCGACCATCGGAGGTTCTTTAACGTGCACCCCAATCTGAGCACACAGGCCTACAACATTTCCGCCCCCATAGAAAATGCAGCCGCCGCAGCCGGGATTAGATCCAGTGATCTGTGGGTCAGCAGCCGAGTATACCTTAGCCACTAGACTACCGCGGCGGGGCTACTAGCTGGGGCTGCCGATACAAGTTAAGGGTAACATGATAACAATTAGATAGTTGAGTCAACTTCGAACACAGTCTTGCGTCCACAGAAACCAGGTTCCGTCCCAGAAGTAACCGACAGGAAACGGTGGCTGGGGGCACAATGGCATACGATGTAAGTCCTCCTCGCTAAGAAAACTCAAGGGGACTTCTTACAGCTACGGCCTGCCTAGCCTAGTTTATAGTGTCAGCTAAAATCTGCTTAGTGTCCGCTAAAGATCTCATCACAACACGGCTTGCGTTTGGCGACAGCAGCCCTTAGAGGGTGGACATTTGCGACAACCGGCACCGGGAGACCAAAGACTTCAACATCGAATCACAAGCAATGTAATACCCACCTAGGCTGGTTTTCAGGCGTCTGCTTCGCGGCCTGGTAAAACTATTTTGTGCGTGCGTGTGCGCACTGCTTGTATACTTTCGCTGCGGCCGTGACCTATCGCTAAAGATGCATAGTTTGAGGTTTGTAAAACCCGAAGCTATAAGCTCCACCTTGGCAACACCTGTGTCAATCTTCGTCGACTAGTAAACTGCAAAATTGTCGTCAAAATTCGATGGTGCAATAAAACTAGTCAGTGGCGGTGGTAAAAAGCACACAACCATCATAAACCTTCTTATTCTCACCATACCTTACGCTCGCCCATTCGATGATGCTCCTTAACCTGGGAACAATATGATGGCCTTGATTTTCTGGTAAGGATAGCCAAGGAAGCCGCTGGATCCTTGTCCATGGTCCCTCGACACGGGCAAAGCGAATAGTTAGGGAGAACACGGATTTGCTTAATGTTCGTTCTTGTGGCTTCGAGTGTACTTGCAGTTTCATTTGATGTCGTGTTTTGGTGTTTATGATTTTAGATAGAATGATGGATACTGCGCAGTGAAAAAAAAAGCACGATGAGCAGACAAGGACAGGCGCACACTATAAACTGAAGGCTTACCTGTGCAATACATGTAATCATGATCAATACATGTAATCAATACATGTAATCATGCAATACATGATCGCGCAATACATGTGACAAACAGGAGACGCGAAGAAAAGTTAGCATTTTATCAAATAGCAAGATTCGTAAACTCGGAAGCACGAGACAGAAAAGCAGATTCATGAGCCATACGTTCCATCGACCAGGTACTGAAGCTCTCATCTGGGAGAGCAATCGATGGTCTGCTCACGTAGTTGTTAGGCTCCCGCGCTATTTTCTTCGCTTCATTGACCATCCGTGTGCGATAGCCTTTGTGCTCATGCAGCACAGCTGTATCAAAATGGTGAGGGAACCTAGCAACTGCGTGAGCCAACGCCTCATCCATTTCCTTCAATGCCAGTGGAAACGCGTGCTTCTCAACGGGAGTCGTCGGTCCGTTATATTTAAGGGAGTGGTCGTGATGCGACCCTACGCCAGGGGCAGTGCTGCTTGCATCACACGTGCCTCTGAGCGCATTTCTACGTAGATGCGATAAACGTGTTTCCCACTGCAATATCATAGGCCTGTCAGATTGGTTCCTTTGTGCATTAGATTTTCTTTGTAGAGCGAAGTCGGGTGCCTCTGTCTACTAGAGTTGCAAAGCATGGCGCTTCAGCGATTATGGGCCCATACTCGCTGAAGTGCCATGCACAGATTTAATTAATTTTTCGTAATTGCGGCTCCGGTTGGCTTCGCGTGGCTAGAAGTTGCTTTGTCGCGAAAGAAAAATCGCCAAATGGTCAGCGAATAAACCTCTTAGGCTTATCCTTTCACATCAGGTCGCGAAGTTCGAAAGGGTCCATTTTTTCCTTCAAAACAAACCAAAACACATCAATAAACAAAGCCACAAATGCGATTCAAAGCCAACAAGTATGAAGACTAGGTCAACCCGTGTACTACCCATCATTTCCGTTGCCGCTGAACGATCGCAGCACTAGAGTGCTCTCTAGTTATATTACAAAACTTCGTGTTCTTCCTTTGTGCTCGAAGCAACGCCGCCGCCACATCGCAGAGCAGCGCACGCAGCAGCGTTACAGTGACGCTTCCCCGTTGGTCGCACGCATAGCGCCACGAACGGTGACATGCTATCTCGAAACACCGTATCTTTTAGAAAGCCAGCTTGCCCGCCTGTACTGTGAACATGAGGATTACAAGACGCTGCCCCACGGATCTGTACACAACTAAGCAAAAAAGTGCTTCACATAAATTCCGTCTTGAGGCACTTTATGACAGGTCCTCTCCCCAATGACCGCCAAGCACGCACGAAGGCTAGGCGATGGGCGAGAGCAGGAAAAGGCACGAAGAGAGGCTGGTGAACAGATGAATGGGGCGCGTCTTGCTGCAATAAAGAAATAAGGGAGGCGTTGCATGAGCACACCATCGATTGCTTTCCTAGATAAAACGTATATTGCAAATGGCCCGCATGGCTAATGAGTCTGCTATTTTGCCGCATGGTTCAGAGTGTAAGTACCTTTTTGTTTGATAAAATGCAAACTTTTTTTATATTTTCCTGTTTGGCATAAATGTATATGCGGTACGCGATAAATAAACCTTCAGTTCATAATGTGCACTTGTTCTTGCCATGCTTGTCCGCGTTTTCAACCGCACAATATCCACCGATTATGACTAACCAACTGACCCCATTGTCCACTTCGGGTAGAACAACGGATCGTTCTGAATTTTGTGAGGTGGTGGTGAATTGGAACGGCCGAACGTTTGCCGAACTTGCTCTTGCCACAAAGCGCCTTGTTATAATGTTAGCCCTTGGTGTACCACAGCCGACGTGATCGGGCATAACGCGCATGCGCGACGAAGTCGTGAGGCGCTGCGTGCTGGATATGAGGGCGGCGCTGCGAAGTCGTAAGTTTCGAACGATAGCCAAAGATACGCCGATTTTGTTAAAAAAAAAGACTTGTTGCGACTGGTTTCGATCGACTCAGCAGCTGCCCACAGATTTAGCTTATAATTCGGTAGCGTGTTAGGCAGACGTTTTCTTTCAGCATTTTACCAGAGCGATCAGTGGTGTTAAGTTCTGCAACAATTCGACTGCAGCCCAGGGGCCAGTATTCTTGTCACTGCGGTACGACGTTTCGAATAAGATTTTCGGCGCCAAGAACTTCAGCACCTCCGTATGACCAAGTAAGTGCTCTACAGCTGTAGGTTCCGCAGGTAGTTAGACTGCGTGCGCGTAATTCTTTGAATGTGTATAACGTATGCTTCTAGGATCGCAACGCTTTTTACTCTGTTGTGTCGGCAGCAGCTCCCGCCGCCGTTGTTTGTGCGTGCCTAAATGTTCTCTGCGAAACGAACTTGCCGAAAGATCGGTGCCCTGGTGTAACGCTTGTCCTTCGCTCCAATTTTAAGTGATCTTTAGGATACGGTATACTTAAGGCATTGCGTTAGCAGTCGTCGTCACGGGCCTGCATGCGTCGTATACTTCTCAGGCACCCACGTTATGTTCATAGCGTATCGCCCTCGCCGAACGCCATCTTTGCCTACGCCATTCCAAAACTGTCTGCTGCTTGCTTTATATGCAAAATCAGGCATACATGTAATACGAAAGACACCCACGTTCGTGTGGACATTCTTGCTACGCACTGCGCATAACTTCCCCTATAGACCGCGAACACATATCAAGTGCATGGACGGTCACTTAAATCTTTGAGTATGCCGGAGCTACGCCATCAAGAGAAGAACAAGACAGCGAAATCGGGCTCCGTTTCCATCGCCTTTTTCATTTTCTATTGCCAAGCTTTGCTTCGTGGTGTACAAAACCACGCCGAAAACAGAGGAACGTCTCCGCGCTGAACACTAGATGTTGCAACGTATCCTGGCTTTTCAGACTGCCCTACAACGCTTACTGCAATGACTGTGGTGAAGTACCCCTTACGCTGTGTGCTTCTCTGTGAAAAGTGGGAAAGTATACTCGCTACGCGTATACGTTAGCAACACTCGCACATGATGCTCATGACGATGATTCGATGATTATGCCTGAGGCCCGTTGTAGGAACTTCAAACTACCCACTCGCTGCGCTGTCCGCGTGTTTTGGCGACTTACGTGATTCTGCTTTTTATGCCTTGCAATACTGCATGCCCTATGGATTCTGCTCGCACTGCGCAATATTCGTATCGATTATCTTGCCCCAAAAGTTTGAAGTACTGACGTGCGTATGTAGTAGTACGCCTACTTGCCATACAGAAAGCTTGGGTTTAATGGCCGCAAGAAATGACTTGCATTGGTGTGGTATTTTTGCTAAAAGCAATGACCTCGACACAGAAATTTCTGTAGAACGATCTCTTCAACGTCATCGTGTCGATATAAGTTACCCGGAAAAGCTACATTACCTGACGTATACACAAGATGGGCCCATAGCCAAGAATTTTTTTCAACATTTATTTTTGTGATTTGTCCTCGGCAAGACATCTTTATCCACCCAAGTTTCGGGAGGGAGGGGGGTTTCTCAGTTCTTTTACCAGGCTACTGGCCTGACACAAGGTAAATGTTGGGGATCGATTACTAGTTTTCATTGTGCCTTTTCTTGTTAATGCGACGGGAAGACGATTGGTCAGAACATCAAGACTGCGGGAAACACCGTAGAATATTTTCGTCAGAACTTTTAATCTGCAGCAACTGTGAAGTATACTCGGGACACATACTGCGAAGAGCTGGTGAGCCAGCTGTTGTGTACTGCGTGTCCATGGATTTCGCGCATGCGCTGAGGCTTGACATGTTTTACTATAGCCACCGTCAAAGATTTTTACACTAATTTCAAGAGTGAAACTTGGCGCCTCGTCTATGCACGTTGAACATTCTGGATTAGTTTAGATTGTTCTGATAAACGTCAGCATGCTACGAGCTATTCGGGAAGTAATGCGGCCACCAACGATAGGGCTAGAATCTTGGATGGCACATGTGTAAATGCTGATGCACCTTAAACAGGATACTAATCGCCGACCAAAGACTTTGTGGCCGATAGGGTTGCACTTCGACAGCCAATATTTTTGTCAAACTAGGTTCTTCCTGTGAAGCATAGAGTTTTCTCAAATCAACTAGAGGGGATTCTGCAACTGAAATTGTCCAGCCACCATGGAAAGCATGAGTAGTACGTGGAATAGCCTTTCTTCTGGCGGGCTCCAAACGCACTTGTGGATCAGTTGATTGTTTTAATTCGCTGATTAGAATAAAAGAGAAAACTGGAGAACCTTGTCAGCCAATTCGAATTGGTGCGCTAAAAGATTAAAGTGGTCAAGTGTATGGCTTAATTATTGCTGAACTTCATCATGCAGCAAAGCGGATTCAGGGCTCGAGGAGCCAAACCAAGCCGAAAAAACGAGGATTAGACAAATCCGTGTACTAATTATTATTACCACAGTGACTAAGGTGCCGTGCATAGCAGCTTCCATAGACACTAGCGCCAGAGTCCCCCTCTTGTGTATTTATTAAAAAAAATTACGTTATGAAGGGTTTCATCATTACCGCGGGTGCGCTTTGGTGCTCCTCACGGTGAGAACCATCGGACACTATAATTGGAAGACACCGGCTACAATAGCTATCGCTGACGTTATTCTTCGTCACAGGCCGTCCTCCTCGCAAGGCGGCGATGGGGAGAAGACACGCTCCCCTCGGCAGAAGCCGTCCGCCAGAGCGGCCGAGTCCCGGATACCCGTGTGGATGCTTACACGAGGACTTCACGACACCAGTTCTTCCTCGGGAACGTCCAGCGAGCAGAGCCCCGACAAAAGGTTTGCTATTTAAGAATTCTGCGGGGTATAGCCGATATAACTTCATCAGGCTGCGTGTTGCCAGCACTCGAGGAAAGGATTCACACTCGCGACGCGCTGAATCACACACGAAAAAAAGACACGCAAAGGCACAGGTAGGCCGCACACGAGTGCGAACTAATCCCTATACGCTGGCCCTGCTAGCCGAGGAAAGGAGACGCACATAAACTATGCACGTTACAACAACTTATCTATCTACGTGCCAGACATTTACGCATGACTCTACCGAGGTGGCCCATTGGTTGTGGGGCTCGACTGCCCACCCGAAGGTTGCGGGACCGAATCCCACCTGTATTTTTGATTGAGGCAAAAATGCTTGACTCCCGTGCACTAGAGTGCACGTCAGAGAACGACAGATGGTTGAAACTTCTAAACTGTTTTTATAGTACGTCTCTCGGTATTATATTGCGGTTTAGAAACTTTAAATTCAAACAGTAAATATTACTAATGCATTTACCTAGGTACCGCACAAAAAAAAACAGAAAGAGCAGTCGACGATGTCAGAAATGAGCCATGCTGTCTTAGACATGTTTGTGCTACAGGAGTTCCTTATTAACGGTGATGTGTTTATTTGATGCGCAATATGTGCTTTTCGATTCTGCTGTTTCTTTTTCTCCTGTTGCCCCACCGTGGTGGTCTAGTGGCTAAGGCACCCGGCTGCTGACCCGCTGGTCACGGGATCGAATGCTGGCTGCAGCGCCTACATTTTCGATGAAGGCGAAAATGATGTAGGTCCGTGTGCTCAGATTTGAGTGTACGTTAAAGAACCCTATGCAGGTGGTTGAATCGTCCGGAGCCATCCACTATATGCGGCGTCTCTCATAATCATATGGTGCTCTTGGAACGTTACACCCCTCAAATAAATAAATAAATAAATAAATCTTTTTCTCCTCTTTTAGTGTCGTACGCAGATGTCTGGCATAAAATAAATCAGTTGTTAGCACGCGACTCATGTGTGACATGTGGAAACTTGGGCAAGTTGGTAGGACATAACTGAATACACGAACGGAGCGACATATAAGTAGTCAAAGCGTAACTACGGAAACAATAAACAAGGCAGTGTTCTCTTCTGTACATGTTTATTGCTTCCATATTTACGCTGGAACTGCCTCTAGGTTGCCCCGTTCGTATATTCAGTCTTGTGTGTCTTCCTGTGTCCTGTTGTCAGTGTTTAGAGAATATGAGCGAAATGCCCTTTTGCTGGGAATCCTATGACGTCACCCTGACGTGACGCGAGAGCCCGATGGCACGAAAACAGATGAAGACATTCTGTGCCAGCTTTAGGGAGGCGAATGCCCAACTTTTTTAACTCTTTCCAGAACGGCGGTCTCCACTAGGGTACCTCGACGCGCGCGCAGGCACCGAGGCACTCTATTCACCCTAGTAACCACCTCTTCATTTTTTCCCTCTTGAAACACGCGAGCCCCCTTGTGTCGCATTTTGAATTGGGCGTATTTTAAAGCTTTCGTCGAGCTGATGGATATGACGCTGTTTTGTTTGGGCTTCAATGTGACGTGTTACGTTTGCTTCCTACCGGCTGCCGTTGTCCTCAAGGTGCGCTGGACGTTGAATCCGAGATATTATTATATATATGAACGTATGTACTGTTCTTATTAGGTTGATAGTGCTAGAGAACATGTTGTGTGAGTAGCCAACGATGAGGAATTTCAAAATGAAGAGCTGTGCTTTAACCGAAAGGGACCAGAAGACCTTCACTGCACAGTGTTCACCTCGAGTGACCGGCTCTAAAGTTGAACTAGAGTTGCCAGTTTTTGTTTCTTGCGAGAAAATAATTTTCAAGAGATTTTGTATTTTCTACCATAACACTTTATTCCGCGCCGAAAATAGAGTTCTTTGCTTGAAAGAGTCTTCGAACACTTTCTCAAAGTAACCGTTGAAAGACCTCGTTAAAGGGGCTTATTGCCTCACGAGTCGACCCCCCGCACATGACTTCCAGAATCCGGCTGATACGAGTGGAGCCACAACTCTCGCACACGCAGCAATTCATTTCTTCTCGAGTCCTGGCGAGCACGTAGGAAGGTAAACAGAAAGCGGAGGGGGGGGGGGCAGCATGGCAGAAAAAAAATTGGCCCCGTATCTGCATGTTAATCTGCAAATATCATCGAAACACGATAGTCTTGCATGTGGAGAGAGTGAACAAAACATTTATTTGATGTTCTGCGCCAGACAATCAGGGAATGGTATTCTGGAGGCGCTGTGTTAGAGTGCCTCGAGCGTGCAGCGGAGGCGAACGAGCGCATTAAGTCACGTCACACGAGAGACATGAGTGCCATCTGGCAGTTTTCTTAGAAAACATTGCGCGTTCGAGACGGGCGTGCGCGCCCGTCTCAGAGGTGATAAGGTGTAGAACGCTAGGCGACGGGTAGGTGATAACACCGTGTCGTCTTAGCAAAGCGTTGGAAACACTCGCCTTTTCGTGCAAGCGTTGCGCGATCAGCGCAGCGTGATAAACGCTACGGTCCTTAGAATTACTTATGTATGCCTTTTGTAGTAAAAGATGCACATACAGATCATATACGTGTTGTTATGGTGCCTCAGATATGCGCAATAATTGCTTTTTAATCGACAATCGCACAAGTATGAACGCTGAATTTTGAGCAACATTGGTGGGCGCTGCAGATTGGGTCGGCTGTTTGGGGTATCGGCTGGTGCCGTTTAATGTACCCAGTACCGTTAAGGGTGGACAAACCGACAAATGTACAGACAGACAGACCAAAATGTTTGCGTCGAAGGTCCCCAAGAAAGACTATCGTCTTTAAAAGTTATATACGTCACGCGTGCATCTGAGCTTGAGCACTCTTCCCTTTTTTTGAACGAACACGTGGCGTCAATGCAGAGTATTCGCGCACGTGGGCAGGAGGTGGCCGCGCTATTCGCACAACTCGCCATGCTCGAAGCAGGCAATATGGCTGTGAATTCGGGTAGGTTACATGGTTACCGTTGGCGGTAACCACGCAACATGCCCGAATGTGACCAGCAAACGGAAGTCGAACTATAGAAGCACTATAGAGTCTGTGCGCTGATAGCAGTGAACGGAGCGTCAGCCATCAATAATCGGAGCCACGGCGAGTTGCGTTGGTATTATTTATTCATGCGGCTTCGAACAGTCTAGCCTTATTGCTAGAGCTTGCGTAGAAGTTGAATATTGGCGTATTGCATGCAATCTGAGCTGAATCAATGAGAAAAGAACTTTGTTAATAGGTCCTGAGCAGTTTAAGCAAACACGTTCGGCAACGTGCGTTGATAAGAGCATGTGCGGCTGAAACCTAAATGCAGTAGCAGCGATAAATTCGCCTCAATATACAACACCGATTTTTTTTTTTCAATTCGCACGAGGAAGGGGGTAGGGGCATGATATCATTCGCCCCGATTATTTTCGCCAGTATAGACCCTTTTCATAAATACGCCAGCTGACGGTGAGCTTTTCGTCAGTTTCACTTCGCAAAGAAACGTGGGATAGCTAGCGCCATCACGAGGGCATGGAAAGCAAGCCGTCAAATGCGTGAGTGCTGTGACGTTTGTGTTGGCGGCTAGTTTTCCGTATCCTCTGCAATCGCACCGATTTCTAGCTTGAACGAGCTGCTGGTGCTCTCCGATAAGCTTTTTGAGCTGCTTCCGCTGCACATTGAGCAATATTTAGTACCCTTGAACGGGTTGGACGAGCAGTTTGGCTTGTTGTGACTGGCACTGCATGAATCCGGCCTGCAAGAAACTCTCATTGGCGTGCCCTTCCGACGTGGTCCGCATCCTGCAGGAACGCAAGAGCTGTCTTTGCGCGCTGCAAAAAACGCGGATCAGCGTCGCTGTGACACACAGCCTGCGTCGTCTGCTGCGGTGCCCTCACAATGGCGGCAGACTGTATTGCGCGGCCGCGGCGCTAGGGGCGCCCTTTTTCGAAAAGGGCCTGGTTGGTGGCTAAAGTCAAGGCACGAGAAAATTAAACCCTTCACTGCAAAGTACGAGTCCTCATCCTCACTATTTAAAGGAAAAAAAAATAAATCTAGTTTTTGGTTCACTAAGTATTACGGCTCGGTGGCGTTAGCCACCGCCCGCTTTAAAGGGTACAGCCATGTCAATCCATCCATCCACACATCCATGCGTCTATCCTTGTTCGGCCGTTGTTTGTACCATTCCACGTCCTCTATAACCAGTTTCTTCCAGTAGTCCACATCCTTGTCTACGGGTATCATGTTCCACAGTTACAAACTGTCCGTCACATTAGCTGCATACCACAATGGCAAGCCTTGGGCAGTTCTGCAAGGCTTCGCCGCTGCAAGGCTTCAATCACTTGCACGAGAACCGACACTCGCTCAGTGGAATTCACCGGCATTCACCAACGTCCGCCTTCATAATTTGGACCCACACCTACAGCTCCGTCTTCCATCAGGAATAACCAGAGCAGAGGAGACACTTTTGTGCCATCTGTGGATTGGGGTGGCGTTTACGAATGCTTATTCGTTTCGAATCGGAATGGCCAGCAGCCCGACATGTGACAACTGTGGCTGCACAGAGACTTTCTCCTATCTTCTCTGCGAGTGTCCTCGCTTCAGCGTGCCAAGAAAAGAACTGTCGAAAGCTTTAGATAGAATAAACAAACGCCTATTGTCGGAAGAAAGGGTATTAGGACACTGGCCGAGACCATCCTCTGCACGCAAGGCATTGAGAGCGTTGTTGCGCTTTCTGCGGGCAAGTGGTCTTAGAGACAGACTGTAAACAGCGTCGTGGATCGTCTGATGACCTTCTCTCTTCTTTTTTTTACAACGTCTCTTTTCTCTCATCCTTTATTCCCCTTACCCCCTTGCCCAGTACAGGGTAGCCAGCCGGTCTGAGAACTGGCTAACCTCCCTGTCCTTCCTCATTTATTCCTCCTCCTCCTTCTTGGGCAGTTCTAGTTGTGCATTTAGGCAGCTTCGCCGTACATCGGTTTTCAGAGGGCAGGAATGGCAGGTCACAATTTTTCGTAATTTTTTTTTTCTTTTTCGTAGGTCACCTCGAAGGCAGGGATGCGTCACCTGGCTTTTGTCGCCCGGGATCTGCACATCCCCGTGTAGACCCGGCTGTATCTCGGAGCGTGACTGGCTCGAGGCCGGATCTTCGTCGGGCGCCGTCAAGCAGAGTCCCGTAAAGCGGCTCGCCCCCGGATCGAGGCCTTCCAAGATGGCGCGAATGCAGCGAAAGACGCCCGTCGTGACTGCCACCGTTTCGGGAATCCCTCGCCGGCGGCGCTCGTCGGACGACCTGTCCCGCCAGGCTAAGTTCCTTTCGGAACTGAACATCAGCGATGTCGACAGCGAGGACGACAGTGCGACAGCGCACGCCCACGATGACATGGAGGTCGACCCGATCTCGCGTCGCCGTCCTGGTCACAAGTCGGCAGAGGACTCCCACTCCTCGTAGCGGCGGTGCAGAGTTCCCCACCTTCTCCGGACAATTGTAAACCGCCGTTCGCGCACTCTAGAAGAAACAGTCGAGCATCTAGGAAGTGTTTGTGCCACGGAGCCACCATCATCTGGATTGCTCGCGTTTAACTTGGAAAAAAAATCTGGCCCTCACAACTTTCATCGCAAGAATTTTTCGTCGCGTTTTTTTCCCTGAAGGTGCCTGTACTGTGGTGGAAATGTTATAACGCGAGGTTGTCGACGATCATAATTGTGTAGCAGACACGATCGACCCTTCCCTTTACTCAATTTTTTATTAGAGGGTATATACAGAGAAGCTCATCACAAACATGTATATTTATCGATTACGCTCAGATTTCGCTTTACGCTTGGTTCTAAACTTTCAGTTACTTACCGGCCCTGACTTCTCTGACGTATTGCTTTTTAATATCTACTTTTAGATTTTTAGTGTTTTTGGGAAGATCTTTGTTAGCGTACCTTGTTCTGCGTGCTAATAAAAATAAAAGGTGCCAAATAAAGCCATGCACTCGAACTTTTGGCCAAACCGGCGAACTTTCATTTCTTACAGCATCTTGTATATAACTTTCTGAACATCATCGCCCAGCAGCGTAGCCACTAAATTTTAAGAGAATCTTTTTTTAAGTTTCATTCATGGCACCATTGTAACAACTATTACCTAGGAGGTGCGTAATTTGTTTCACGGTGCTTGCATTCAACCCGTTCGATACACTGTGACGCCTGTTTTTGTGTTCAAACTCGCCGAGTCGTCTGACATACATTAACCATTTTTGAATTTAGGCATATTTGCTGTGCCTGCCGTTGTTTGTAACTCAAATCGTTCTTACTTTGTACCGACCGCCTTTCACACCGCATCTACGAGGCCTGTAATGTATTTGTAAATAAAAAAATATACTAAACAAGTATAGTATTGTGCGTTCTTTAATAGGCCTTTAATAATGAAGTAGAAATGCATATTTAGCAGCACTTCTGTTTCACACTGAGTATAGATTGCTGTGAATGTGAAGACTGTTACAAGGCAATGGCAGCTATACAGAAGAAGTATAGTGCTGAAACAAAAAGTTACTAATACCGCGTGCTCGTTGGGAATGACACTGAGAAGGTTCTAGAAGAAACTGTGCCAGGCACTCTTCCTTTCATTAAGCGATACACGTCTCGTTCAAAATATGAATAGCACTGTGAATATGAAGAAAGAGGAAGAATTAACATCTCTATTGAAACTGGTTTCCGTGGATGGAACCCCTATTCCAGGGCCGCACTGGTATGAGCGGCTAGCTTGGCGTGATCCAAGGTTGCCCACTCACTTTCCAGGTCCCGCCGGGTGAGACGCAAAGCCCACGACCTTTCAAACTAGTTGCCTCTCTCAAGGCGTGAGTTGCCCTCTGCTGGTATTTGTCGGCAAGTCCAAGTGACGCGAATTGGGTGTCCACGCATGCTTGTCGTTAGTTGTCCGGAGCGTTAAATTTATTTAAACATCCACGCACCAATTGCACACAATATTTATCACACAAGTTCACCGATGGTTCGCAATTAACATTTTTGTGTATGCAAATCAATGATTTGGTGATGATATATGGTGTTTTTGGCGCAAGGGCCATTCGATGGCCAAAGAGCGCCAGTTCATGGGACAAGGAATATGGACAATGATTGTGATTAGCGGCTGTATAAGGGCCATAAAATTCCTCGCGGTAAGGCGGGTAAGAACATACAAGTAATAAAATCATGACCATGCCATGAAAGGTGTATGTGGTGTGAATAGATGACAAAAGTTGAGGATAATAAAAGACGATGGTGGATATGTATGGCATTAGCACAAGTGCCTCACTCATTCATACCCTTGCGTCCAAGGGCCGTGAGGCAAGTGCTTTCTTGTGTAGGCACCGCAGCGACAACCTCTCTGGAGAGGTCGTGCTACGGAATGCCCGGGTATATGATATGAAAACTATGAATTTCTTGTAAAAACGCTAACAATGATTTATGACTAAAAAGCGGTTCCCTACCGACGAACATTGCAAGGTGTAAAGGTATATTATGTCGGTAGGGTAATGGAAAATGTTTTCTTAGAGTTTCTAAGTGTTTGCACTGGATTAGTATGTGAAGGACTGGTAATGTTTCACCACATTTGTCACACAACGGTGGATCGCCACCGGACAAAAGATGTTAGTGTGTCGTGTATGTGTGTCCTATCCTGAGCGTCGTTAGTGTTACCTCTGTGTGACGTGATTTTGATACTGGCGACCAATGGCCAAGGTGTGGCTTAATAATTTGTAGTTTGTTTTGTGTGTGTCTATCCCACTTGCTCTGCCAGTAGTCCCTGAGCTTTCGTTTGAGAAACGGCTTAAGATCAAGGGCCGGGATTGATATGCGTGTAGTGGCAGTGCTTTCGTGGACGAATGCAGCAAGCTGATCCGCCATTACGTTGCCTTGGATTTCACGGTGCCCTGGCACCCAGCACACTACAACATGTTGTTTGAGTGTGTAGAGTGTGCATAAAGTGGAGTAAAGTGAGACGAGAACAGAGTTTTTTGTTTTTTAAGATTGTGCAGAGTCGTTACCACACTGCGGGAGTCCGTATAAATTACTGCTTTTTGTATTTGCAGTTGTTTGATGTGTTTAGCAGCCACAAGTATCCCGTAAGCTTCCGCTGTGAAGATACTTGTGCCTGGATGTAGAGGGCCAGCATCCGAAAAGGATGGTCCGACAGCAGCGTAGGACACAGAGTAGTTAGACTCGGAAGCATCTGTAAAGAACTCAGGACGAGTGTATTTGTGTTGAAGTTCCAGGAAGTATGTTCGGATATGGGCAATAGGCGCATGTTTTGTAACTTCTAGGAAAGACACATCGCAATCTATAGTCTGCCACTGCCACTGTGGCGGGTATGCTACAGGAGCCATTAAACTGTGTTCAAGTGACACTCCAGTCTCTTCAGCTATACCCTTCAGGCGAACTGAGAAGGGCTGCCTCATCGAAGGCCTGTTTTGAAACAGAATGGAGCTCGACAAATCATTATTAGTAGAGTATGAGGGGTGCTTCTTGTCTGCTTTCACCTTAAGAAAATATACAAAGGACATGTAAGTTCTTTGTGGATGAAGCGACCATTCATTTGACTCAACGTAAATGCTTTCTTCAGGGCTGGTGCGAAAAGCACCCGTAGAAAGGCGGATGCCCAAATGGTGCACGGGATCCAGCATCTGCAAAGCACTTTGAGCCGCAGACTGATAAACAACCGCCCCATAATCTAAGCGGGTGCGAATGAGGCTTCTATATAGGTTCATGAGACATTGCCTGTCACTACCCCACCTAGTACGTGACAACACTTTTAAAACATTCATGGCTTTTAAACATTTTGTTTTTAGATACTTGATGTGCGGTACGAAAGTCAACTTGTTGTCCAAGATTAATCCTAAGAATTTATGCTCTGTATTAACAGATAGACGTTGACCGTTCAGTTTAATGTAGGGTTCTGAGTGCATGCCTCTCTTTCGGGAGAACAAGACACACGTGCTTTTTTGTGGGTTCTCTCGGAATCCGTTTTCCTCTGCCCATTTAGAGACCTTGTTTAAACCTAACTGAACCTGCCGCTCACACATTGCCAGATTGCAAGATCTAAAGCCAAGCTGGACGTCATCGACATATATACAATAAAACATATTGCGAGGAATGGACAAGCGCAAGGAATTCATTTTGATGAGAAAAAGTGTGCAGCTAAGTACACCACCTTGTGGCACGCTTGTTTCCTGGACAAATAATTGGGAAAGAACCGTGCCCACTCGGACACGGAATGTCCGGTTAGACAGGTAATTTTCGATTATGTGAAACATTCTTCCGCGCACGCCAAGGTGGGACAGGTCTCTTAGAATTCCAAAACGCCATGTTGTATCATAAGCCTTTTCGATATCGAGGAATACAGAGAGAAAATATTGTTTATGGACGAAGGCGTCCCTGATCTGTGCCTCAATACGAACAAGGTGGTCTGTGGTGGATCTACTTTCTCGAAACCCGCACTGAAATGGGCCGAGCAAATTGTTTGTTTCAAGGATATGTACAAGTCGGCAGTTTATCATTTTTTCGAAGACTTTGCACAAGCAGCTTGTAAGTGCAATAGGCCTATAATTCGAAGGTAAAGAAGGGTCCTTGCCCTCTTTCAAAATGGGAATAATAATAGCCTCTTTCCAGGAGGTAGGGATAGTGCCAGAAAACCAGATAGCATTGTACAAACAAAGTAAAGTTTTTCGTGTTTCGATTGGTAGGTTTTTTAACATTTCATACACCACATGGTCAGAGCCTGGGGCAGAAGTACTGCACGAGTTTAGAGACGTTCGCAGCTCAGCTAGACTGAAAGCTTGGTTATATGCCTCGTATCTAGTGCCTTTGTGTTCGAGTTTCTGCTTTTCTATTAGGGGCGAAGCTCCTTATGGCGTGGCTTGGCGTCCCTCGTATGTAACCACTAGTGGCACATACCCGAAATAGGTATAACACTTGACCACCAAGGTGGTGCCAGTCAGAGATTTCTTCTGTGCGTTGTTTAACAATAAAAAATAGTGCTCAATGTACATGCCAATGGCTGCTAATGGGGAATGAGAGACATGAGCATTCGGCTTTTAGTCAACGCGCACGCTGCGATCCCCATTAGCAGCCATTGGCATGTACATTGAGCACTATCGGACAAGAAAGAGATGCTACATTATACTCGCTGGGTGTAACCTCCTTAGCTTTAGAAAGGTTTAGCGAGCGTTGAGCCGCAGTGAAATGAATACAATGAACTTGTATATACCAAGAATGAACTCAAGGTGGTTAAAAATGAGAAGTAGATACGAAGAGCAAGCTGTAAGAAAGTAAAAGCCGAATTCTCCTGTCTCTCATTTCTCATTAGCAGCCATTGGCATGTAAATTGAGCCCTATCTGACAGGGAAAGGTTGCTACGTTATACTCGCTGGGCGTAACCTCCTTGGTTTTCGAAAGGTTTAGCGAGCGTTTGGTCGCAGTGCCATGAATACAGTGAACTAGAATATACCATGAACTCGAGGTGGTTAAAGGTGGGAAGTGGACCCAAAGCGCAGGCCGTAAGAAAGTGTGTGTGTGCCACCTCTCGTTTAGTCCTTGGAATGTCCGCTGGATGGCGGTGCTTCTATATGGGGAATATATGATAAAAAGATGCGAGATGGTGGGACTTGGAGTGTTGAATAGATGAACGAACGGACACACAAACAGATGCATGGATGGACGCATGAACGGACGCAGGGGCGGATGCATGAAAGAACGCAGGGACGGGCGCACAAACAGACGCATGGACGGTCACACAGACGGACGCATGGATGGACGAATGCTTCGCCCCACTCTCCATCATTCACTCCGTGGATATGCTGCCATTTTTTCTTGTTCTGTATTTTTGGAAAGTGTCAGTATAGTGGGATGAGCTGGACACCTGTTCGAAGTGTGCACCGAGAAAGTTTGCCTGATCTTCCAAGGTATCACCCTGAGCGTTTACGAGTGGAAGTGTGTGTACTTGTTTTCCTGCTATCCTACCGACCATGTTCCAGACTTTAGACTCCTGTGTGTATGAATTGATCCCTGACAAAAACTTCTGCCAGCTTTCCCTTCTGGCCTGCCGACGCGTTTTCCTGCCTTGAGACTTTATTTTCTTGAAAGTGTCGAGATTTTCGGCTGTCGGTGAGTTCCGAAGCAGCCTCCAAGCTCTGTTTTCCTGTTTGCGCGCGTTTCGGCATTCAGAGTTCCACCATGGCACACGCCGTTTTCCAGGGTGTCCAGTTGTTTGTGGGATGCATTTTGTTGCAGCATCAATCAAAAAAGCTGTGAAGTAGTTGACAGCAACATCAATGTTCAAAGTACATATGTCATTCCAACCTAAACGAGCGATGGTATAAAACTGTTCCCAGTCGGCT